AAATAATGATCGATGTTGGATTCTCTCCGTCATGTGTGGATCAAAACAGAAATACTTTTTAACATAGAGAAAAGTTTAAAAGACATGGCTATATAGTTCAGTATTTGGATGTAGTACAGGTGAGTATTTGGATGTAGTACAGGTGAGTATTTGGATGTAGTAGAAAGCAGAGCAGTTCTCTGTAGTACCTGAGTATTTCTATGGCCACTCTCTCACAGCTAACCTGGCAAGAGCCAGATTGATGATTGTGTAGAAGTGTTTGTGAACTCACAAATACCGCGAGAATTCAGCTTGCAGGCAAGGTTATCTCACAGCTAAAGCAGAGCAGTTCTCTGTAGTACCTGAGTATTTCTATGGCCACTCTCTCACAGTTAAAGCAGAGCAGTTCTCTGTAGTACCTGAGTATTTCTATGGCCACTCTCTCACAGTTAAAGCAGAGCAGTTCTCTGTAGTACCTGAGTATTTCTATGGCCACTCTCTCACAGCTAAAGCAGAGCAGTTCTCTGTAGTACCTGAGTATTTCTATGGCCACTCTCTCACAGTTAAAGCAGAGCAGTTCTCTGTAGTACCTGAGTATTTCTATGGCCACTCTCTCACAGCTAAAGCAGAGCAGTTCTCTGTAGTACCTGAGTATTTCTATGGCCACTCTCTCACAGCTAAAGCAGAGCAGTTCTCTGTGAGGCTAAACAAACATGTAACATTCTGTAGAAGCAGCAGCATAAAGGAAAGTGTTCGGTCGTTTAACAAAAGCCTTTGGTCCCACGGCAGCTGCTGATTGGAGTTTCCATCACGCTAAAAACATACGTGACGAGCTCTGAGAAAACACAGTGATACACTGATCCTATGGCACTAGTATACAGAGGAATGTGTTTGTGTGGAAGTGTAGATCCTCCTTTCTCTGCTAACAGCTGTTTAACCACTGCTCTGTTTATCCCTGAGGTAATGGGATAATGGCTCCACGTCAGAGCAGTTACGATAGGATACAACTTTAATAAACCAAAAGAAACAAGATTTGAACCACTACTTTTTGTTACAGATCATGATTCATCTGGAAAAACTTTCATATAAACTAATAATAATAAGAAATAAAAATAAACTAATAAATTAAATAACAAATCAAAGACGTGTTTGTGTTGTTGGGAATTTAATTTGAACATTGTTTTTCTGAATACATTCACATTAAGGTTGCATTTATATGACATTACACAAAAGCATAATACTGTATCACAAATGGAAGGAGGAGATAAAAACTGTCTCTGCCTGAACAGTTGTTATTCCACCCCAGTGTCAGTTAAATCATGAGATTTAATATATTTGTATCACAATTACACTGTTCACACGGCTTAGTTATTTTTAGTTACTTTTGAGTCTGGAAGAAACACAAAAAGTGACATACAGTATGATGCTGCTCAATGGCGTGTAGAAAGCATTTTTATTACACAAAGTTGATGTTTTACTTTGTCCAGCTCAGAGATCGATGCCTCTCATTGCAGACACGTCGTTTCCGTGGTCAAAATGGCAGTTTTTAGTAATAACAATGGAAGTCAATTTATTCTGCATGTCACTCCGTTTATTTTAGATAGTAAAATATTACCAATGTTATTTTGTTAATTTAATACAAAGTTACAGTACCAGGTTCCATGAAAGAATACTATTATTTCTAGGTACTAGGTTATTTTTAAGTAATTTTAGGTCATGGTAATTTTTTGGCACTGCTAATGGTAATGCTAATAATGATACTTTAACTTACATAGAAGTTTAAACACAAACACACCCCATCATTCAATCATTACAGAGGTATTTATTCCTTGGCTGTATCCGAATGTCCACACTATACCCTATATAGTGCACTATATAGTGGTCACGCCATTTTGTAGGGGTGTCCGAATGTCCAGAGAGAAAAAGTAGTGCACTGGAATTTTCCCACAATGCATCTCGAAAATGTAGTGAGCAGCAGTGGTCACTATACGGAAGTAAAATGGCGGAGGCACAGAGAGACGGGTTGGAAGAGAAGCGGGACATGAGCTACAAATGTGAGTTTTTAATCATCATAAATATGGAAATGTGTAAACCGTGATATATTGTTGACGATAAGCTGCCAAAATACACATTTGAAGTCAGAATACCATTGCCTTTTACTGCAAAACAACGTACCAATGTTATGCCGCGAAAGTGTTAGCATTTTCGCATATCATAACATTAACATCTAAAGCGAACGCTACAGAAACGGGTCACTGGTGGTCAGTCATTAATGTTATTAAAGCACTTGTGTTATATGTATAGCATTTATTGTGTGTTTAATGTTTTTTAAAGGGACAGACACTGATGTGGAGAGACTCATCTGACTGCAGGTGAAAAATTTGCTTCGGCGGCTGGATGGGAGTATGACCATTATGAATAAATACTTATTCAAAAAAACGTCTACTCGTATTCAAATGTTTTTATGTATCGTTACTTTAGGGCAGTGATAAAGGAAATGGGCCTGCCAGAGCGGCCAAGAAGTGGGAGAACCTGAAAAAGACCTACAAGATTTGTTTCTTTGAAGCTAATTTGTGAAGCATTTATTATACAAAACTCACTGTTTTAAGGAGCTCAGACAGCCACGGACAGGGACAGGGACAGAAGGAGGGGAGCCCATCGCCATATCGTGGAAGTGGTACTCCCTCATGGATGAGGCAGCAGGCCATCCGTGCAGCCTCCCTGCCTGATTGCCTCATCCATGGGGGAGGGCGTTTCCACATCTGTGGAACAACCCCCTGCCCCCGTACAGCCAGAGGAGGAAGAGGAAGAGGAAAGCAGTGTGGCAGCCAAGAGGCCGAGGAGGGAGAGTTTGATAAGTTTTTTGGAGAAGGTGGAGAAGAAGGAAGAGGAAAGGGAGAAGCGAGAAGAGGAGAGGGGAAGAAGAGAGAAAGAGAGAAAGGAGAGACTGTTGAGTTTGTTGGAGAGAATTGTTGAGAAGTTGTAAATAGTAGATAAAAATGTATTTTGATAAGTGTAGTTTGAACTATATGCATATCGACATACAATGATGAACACTATTTACACACAAAAAAATTAATCAACTAGACATTTGTAAAGAAAACTATACATACATTCAACAATTTCTTTTTAGATATTTACATATTCAATTGTTTTTGTTTTTATTTAAATAGGCCAAAACACAGATTATTCAAACATTTAATTAATAGTCGTGGTCCCGAAGAGCTGGTAGCCTGGCCCTTGGGGTGGAAAGTGCTGCTGCCATCCGTCCACGCAGCTCCTGTCCACACAGCTCCTGTCCACACAGCTCCTGTCCACACAGCTCCTGTCCACACAGCTCCTGTCCACGCAGCTCCTGTCCACACAGCTCCTGTCCACACAGCTCCTGTCCACGCAGCTCCTGTCCACACAGCTCCTGTCCACACAGCTCCTGTCCACACAGCTGTCCACGCAGCTCCTGTCCACACAGCTCCTGTCCACACAGCTCCTGTCCACGCAGCTCCTGTCCACACAGCTCCTGTCCACACAGCTCCTGTCCACACAGCTGTCCACACAGCTCCTGTCCACACTGCTCCTGTCCACACAGCTCCTGTCCACACAGCTCCTGTCCACACAGCTCCTGTCCACACAGCTCCTGTCCACACAGCTCCTGTCCACACAGCTCCTGTCCACACAGCTCCTGTCCACACAGCTCCTGTCCACACAGCTCCTGTCCACACAGCTCCTGTCCACACAGCTCCTGTCCACGCAGCTCCTGTCCACGCAGCTCCTGTCCACACAGCTCCTGTCCACACAGCTCCTGTCCACACAGCTCCTGTCCACACAGCTCCTGTCCACACAGCTCCTGTCCACGCAGCTCCTGTCCACACAGCTCCTGTCCACACAGCTCCTGTCCACACAGCTGTCCACACAGCTCCTGTCCACACAGCTCCTGTCCACACAGCTGTCCACACAGCTCCTGTCCACACTGCTCCTGTCCACACAGCTCCTGTCCACACAGCTCCTGTCCACACAGCTCCTGTCCACACAGCTCCTGTCCACACAGCTCCTGTCCCACACAGCTCCTGTCCACACAGCTCCTGTCCACACAGCTCCTGTCCACACAGCTCCTGTCCACACAGCTCCTGTCCACGCAGCTCCTGTCCACGCAGCTCCTGTCCACACAGCTCCTGTCCACACAGCTCCTGTCCACACAGCTCCTGTCCACACAGCTCCTGTCCACACAGCTCCTGTCCACGCAGCTCCTGTCCACACAGCTCCTGTCCACACAGCTCCTGTCCACACAGCTGTCCACACAGCTCCTGTCCACACTGCTCCTGTCCACACAGCTCCTGTCCACACAGCTCCTGTCCACACAGCTCCTGTCCACACAGCTCCTGTCCACACAGCTCCTGTCCACACAGCTCCTGTCCACACAGCTCCTGTCCACACTGCTCCTGTCCACACAGCTCCTGTCCACACAGCTCCTGTCCACACAGCTCCTGTCCACACAGCTCCTGTCCACACTGCTGATCAGGCTGGTGCTGCTGATGCTGGTCCTGCTCATCATCAGGCCCTGGCTCCTCTTCCACTGGCTCCCAGAGATCACCATCGCTGATGCAGATGTTGTGCAGGATGGCGCAACAGGCAGTCACCTGGACTGCAAAGGTGGGTTGGACTTCCAGTGCCTTGAAAAAAATGGATCGCCATCTTGCCTTCATCATGTCAAACGCTCTCTCTGTTACAGATCGTGCCCGTGCATGGTGCCGGTTGAAGCGGGCTTCCACTGGGCTCCAAACAGGCTCTCTGTATGGAGGGAGGAGTGTGATGGGCTGACGGAGGCAAGGCTAGCCACCATCCCCAAGGAGGACGTGTCCATTTGGGGGATAGAGCCGGTGGACATACAGGGGGCTGTTTTTAAGCACTCGAGAATCGTGCACAGATCCGGGGTAGCCAACAAACAAATCAATAAATAAGCCACGGTGATTACACACAGCCTGCATTTGAATAGAATAAAACAATTTCCTGTTAAAATAACACTGTGCATTTTCTTGAAGGGGCTTTATTCTAATGTGGCAGCCGTCGATGCTCCCCACAACATTATTGAGAGCAGCTGATCCAGCCAGCAACTGAAACCCAGCTGCAACTTGGGGAAGTTCCTCCAGGGAAGGGAAATGAATTATTTGGCCACGCATTTGAAGGATCTGGTTGGCCACCCTGTGGATCACATCGTGGACTGTGGACTGAGGCATGTCAAATGCCCTGGCGACAACACGGTACGCGGTGCCACTGGCCAACCAAAAGAGGAAGACCAAAACCTCCATGTCCTGCTCCAGCCCTGGTGATGAGCACTCCTCAGGTGGCTAACCAGACGGGTGATGGTGGTTCGAGTGAGGCAAAAATCGGGGCGAAGGTCAGACTGGCCATTTAAGTACATGCTGAGTAGGGGTACATGGTGGTTCAGTCGGCAGTACACCGGTGGTTCACCCTAAAACAAAACAAAAATTCTCTTAAACTTAATATGATGCTTCTAGATTAATTTTTTAATTCTGTATCTGCACTTTTAGTTATGAGTGCAGACACAGGAATAAGTACTCATTTTTCATTTTGAGATTTAAAAATGTACATAAAAATGAAGAGTATATAGCTGAAGTCATGTTCTTTTGTGCCCTGGCATTGATTTTGCCAAATGTATTGTGTGTTGCAGGGAGCTGGAGCTGCCCTGAGACAACTGAAGTAGAAACCCTCACTACATCACTCGCACCTAATAACACACAAAAAAATCACAGAAGCCCTGTGCCCCATGGCCAAGCAAATTCTATTATTGTTTAATGATTAAGTACTCATTTTTCATTTAGAAAAAAATGAGTACTTAATCCATTTTCCTTGCTATGGTTTTGTGTTCTTTCAACCAATAAAATATTTTAATGTTCTTGCATTTTAAGTGAGTGTGTCTATACAATGTGTTTTCTTGTTGAAATATGTCTAAATGTATATGACTAATGTGTTTCTCATTGACTGAGAATAGTATTTTGAATTAGTAAGTACTATAATTTACCCAGTAGATGGTGCTAATGCTATATAGACAAAGGACGAATACAATACTTACACGACGCCCTGCTAATGAAAGAAGAGCCATTCTCCTCCTCCGCCTCATCGCCTGTCTTCGCCTTCTCTCTGTTCGGCGGTTTTTAATTCGCATTATGAGAAGTTTTATAATTGTTAACAAAAACACCGCAAAATTCAGTGGAGGTGCCATTTCACCGGTGTTAGAGGAGCCGGTCAGGTGGCAGGAATATGAAAGACGTTAAGCAAATAAGTCAACCAAAATTCATAAATATGAATATAAATTGTAAAAACATTTTATACATGTATATTAGACAAATATTGATATTTTAATATACTTTTGATTATATATAAAATTATATTGATCCAATGACATGTGACAGGGGTGTGATGTGGGCCGCGGCTAAAAATAGTGTGCATGTGTCCGAATCGCCAACAGAATGAGTGCACTGACTCACTCACTCAGTCGCTATATAGTCCCGAACTATATAGTCCCGAACTATATAGTCCCGAACTATATAGTCCCGAACTATATAGTCCCGAACTATATAGTCCCGAACTATATAGTGAGTGAGTGGATAGGGTATAGTGTGGACATTCGGATACAGCCCTTGACAACAACATAAGTTAACAGTTACCTAACAGTTAGTTAACAGTTACCTAACGGTTAGTTAACAGTTACCTAACGGTTAGTTAACAGTTACCTAACGGTTAGTTAACAGTTACCTAACGGTTAGTTAACAGTTACCTAACAGTTAGTTAACAGTTACCTAACAGTTAGTTAACAGTTACCTAACAGTTAGTTAACAGTTACCTAACGGTTAGTTAACAGTTACCTAACGGTTAGTTAACAGTTACCTAACAGTTAGTTAACAGTTACCTAACGGTTAGTTAACAGTTACCTAACGGTTAGTTAACAGTTACCTAACGGTTAGTTAACAGTTACCTAACAGTTAGTTAACAGTTACCTAACAGTTACCTAACGGTTAGTTAACAGTTACCTAACAGTTACCTAACGGTTAGTTAACAGTTACCTAACGGTTAGTTAACAGTTACCTAACGGTTAGTTAACAGTTACCTAACGGTTAGTTAACAGTTACCTAACAGTTACCTAACGGTTAGTTAACAGTTACCTAACGGTTAGTTAACAGTTACCTAACGGTTAGTTAACAGTTACCTAACGGTTAGTTAACAGTTACCTAACGGTTAGTTAACAGTTACCTAACGGTTAGTTAACAGTTACCTAACAGTTAGTTAACAGTTACCTAACGGTTAGTTAACAGTTACCTAACAGTTAGTTAACAGTTACCTAACGGTTAGTTAACAGTTACCTAACAGTTAGTTAACAGTTACCTAACAGTTAGTTAACAGTTACCTAACGGTTAGTTTAACAGTTACCTAACGGTTAGTTAACAGTTACCTAACAGTTAGTTAACAGTTACCTAACGGTTAGTTAACAGTTACCTAACAGTTAGTTAACAGTTACCTAACAGTTAGTTAACAGTTACCTAACGTAGTTAGTTACCTAACGTTAGTTAACAGTTTAACTAGTTAACTTACTAACAGTTAGTTAACAGTTACCTAACAGTTAGTTAACAGTTACCGTTAACGGTTAGTTAACAGTTACCTAACGGTTAGTTAACAGTTACCTAACAGTTAGTTAACAGTTACCTAACGGTTAGTTAACAGTTACCTAACAGTTAGTTAACAGTTACCTAACGGTTAGTTAACAGTTACCTAACAGTTAGTTAACAGTTACCTAACAGTTAGTTAACAGTTACCTAACAGTTAGTTAACAGTTACCTAACAGTTAGTTAACAGTTACCTAACAGTTAGTTAACAGTTACCTAACGGTTAGTTAACAGTTACCTAACGGTTAGTTAACAGTTACCTAACGGTTAGTTAACAGTTACCTAACAGTTACCTAACGGTTAGTTAACAGTTACCTAACGGTTAGTTAACAGTTACCTAACAGTTAGTTAACAGTTACCTAACAGTTACCTAACGGTTAGTTAACAGTTACCTAACAGTTAGTTAACAGTTACCTAACAGTTAGTTAACAGTTACCTAACGGTTAGTTAACAGTTACCTAACGGTTAGTTAACAGTTACCTAACAGTTAGTTAACAGTTACCTAACAGTTAGTTAACAGTTACCTAACAGTTAGTTAACAGTTACCTAACAGTTAGTTAACAGTTACCTAACGGTTAGTTAACAGTTACCTAACAGTTAGTTAACAGTTACCTAACGGTTAGTTAACAGTTACCTAACAGTTAGTTAACAGTTACCTAACAGTTAGTTAACAGTTACCTAACAGTTAGTTAACAGTTACCTAACAGTTAGTTAACAGTTACCTAACGGTTAGTTAACAGTTACCTAACGGTTAGTTAACAGTTACCTAACAGTTATCAGCAGTGACAGGTTACGCTAAAGTCATTACAGTATCAGATTAAATAACCCTCTGCACATTTGTGTCGGTGTAGTACAATGGATCGAACCCACACGACTTAAATATTAACTAATCATAAAGTTAAAAGTATGTTTTTATCAGGTAACGTTAGATTGCGTTGTGCACGTGTGAACTTTGATCCGTTGCCTAGTTACCATTAAACAGCCCAAGCTCGCGTCCATTTCCGTTACGATAAAATTAAAAATATATAAAGATACAGTTACTATAGACAGTACTTTCTACAACTATTGTTTGTTGTAGGCTCTTTATAGACAATTATTGCCAAAACAATCACACACAATCGAATAATTAACTTGTTAAAAGTGCATTCGTGGCGATTAAAAGACAGAACCCGGACCTTATTTGTCGCGACACCACGCGGAGAAAACAAACTGTCCCTCTACTTTCACCTTTTAACTAATAAACTTACGGTGAAAAATCCCACGGAGAGAGTAACGCTGATGATCCAGGGCAGGCTGGTCATCTTGAAGTAGCTGCTTACTTCAGCTTTCGCCATTTCTGCTGCAGATGTGGATCTAGTTTGCATCAGTGTGCTGGGTCTTCTCCGCTGGTGGTGTCGCAGTCAAATGAGACCGGGTAACGTCAACTACTGTCAAAGCACTGAGCGCGTGGGGCAGGGCTGGGCTACTGTGCCAAAGGGTAAAATAATATTTATTTTAATCTGATTTATGAGTCAGAAAACATTATTTGTGTTTCGGATGCGTCACAATATGCTAAAAGTGTAGATTAATAATTATTAGATCACAAACTATCCACAACATTTGCAAAAATAGGTAGCACTAGACTCTCACAATTCTGAAATTAATATAACTCATTTTCAAATATTTTTTACAATAGATTTATTACTAGTAAGTCATTTATAAGAGGGTAAGATCTGCCAAGGGGTAATGCCATACACTAAGTATGCGATAGATTCATGACAATCGCATAATTTAGATCAATCCGGTCAAATAATATGGTGCGGAGGTCAAAGTATGTAGCCTATGTAATGTGTATTTATGCAGTGCATTGTACAGACTAAAGTCACACAAT